ATGCCGATATCACAATACCGTTTACTGATGAGATGCAGTACACATACACTAAGTGCTAGTCTTCATGGGAAAGGCCGATATCCTCATTAGTGGCGTAACCCTTCGACTAGGAACACGTTTAACAGTTATAATACTTAAGTAAATATCTCACGATCCTAACGATCAATTACTAGTACTTGTAATAAATGTAAGGACTATATCTATGCTTGTGACAAAGGGACAAAGATATAGAATGCCAAGGTGTTTTATCATTAATACGAATAAAGGTTCGTTTATTACAATAATAAATACGAAAGACCACAGCCACATGTTGGCTTGTTGGTCACCTACTCCAACAATCTCCCACTTGACCTAAAGCGAACTACCCATAAATCGCAATCCCATCGACTCTCGATGTTTCTCATGGACCGATCTCGGTAAAGGCTTCGTGAAGGGGTCTGCAACGTTCTCTTCCGAGGTGACTCGTTCAACCTTAACTTCACCTCTATCATTGATCTCTCGGATCACGTGATACTTCCTCAGAATATGCTTCGACTTCTGATGAGATCGTGGCTCCTTAGCTTGCGCCACGACTCCGGTGTTATCACAGTACAACGGTACTGGATCACTAGCATCAGGAATGACACCCAACTCTTGGATGAATTTCCTTATCCAAGTCCCTTCTTTTGCAGCTTCGGACGCTGCAATGTATTCCGCTTCGGTAGTGGAATCGGCCGTCGTGCTTTGCTTGGAACTCTTCCAACACACGGCACCACCATTAAGCGTGAATATAAATCCAGAATTCGACTTCGAGTCGTCCACATCCGATTGAAAACTAGAGTCAGTAAAACCCTCTAATTTCAACTCGGCACCCCCATAGACCAAAAATATATCCTTAGTTCTTCGCAAGTACTTGAGGATATCTTTCACGGCTTTCCAGTGAGCCGGGCCGGGAATAGACTGATATCTGCTTGTGACACTCACAGCATACGCAATATCGGGTCTCGTACATAGCATGCCATACATTATGTTTCCTATGGCAGAAGCATAGGGCGTCCTTTTCATCTCCTCGATTTCACTAGGTGTTTGCGGACACATAGATTTCGAGAGACGAACCCCATGGGACATTGTCAAGAATCCCTTCTTGGATTCTTCCATGCTAAACCGTTTCATAACGGTGTCTATGTACAGGCTTTGGGATAAGCCAAGCATCTTTCTCGATTTTTACCGCACATAATGAACGTGGGTGGTGTTGTTCCGTTATTCACGATTTTCTCAATTCGGCCTCCCAAAGATGTCAAAGAAAACATCATGTTAAAGGATCGAATATTCTCCAAAAAATATTTACTTCTTGCATCATTGTTGAAGTAAAGATTGTAAAGAGTTGAAGGACAATCTGTAAGCAAGGGAAGTTCAATCATACCATGTGTATAAAAATCATAAAGAAATGTGCGAAGTTTCTTCTGATTTTATCTCTTAGCATCGACTAATAATGTTAGTTTTTCTCCAAAAAGGAGAGGAAAAAAGAAAACAAAAACAAAAAGAGAACAACAGCTACAACATGGACATTTACATGCGGGAAAAAAAAAAACAAACTCATTTCTTTAGTAGATATTTCAATATTGAAATGTCAGTGTATATATAAAATAAGTATTTTATTTGGAAATATAAATTATTTTCTTATTGGCATAAAAATGAAGCACAGTTTGAATGAATATACAGACGATAAATATACAAAAGTGATATATATCTTACCCTTGTTATAGCATAAGCACGTATTGTCAATCACCAGTTAGGTGGTGTTTGCAAATGATTATTTAAAAGCAGAAGTTAGTGATTGTGATTTAAGTTAGTTTTAAGTGCTTCTTTCTAAAAGTTGGGGGTGTTTGCAAATATTTCGGAAAATAAACTAAAATTGAAAAAGCAGGGTTAGGGGTGCTTTTAAAAAAATAGCTTAAAACAGATTATTTTAAGAGAATCAAAAGCAAAAGTTGATTTTTCAAACACCTAAAAACAGATTATGAGCAAAAAAAACCGCATAATCACTTTCAAAAAGCATTTGCAAACACCACCTTAGTAAAGATGAAGGGTGAAAAAACGATGACAAACAACTCAAGTTAATTAGCACATAAAAAAAGAAAACACGTTGAGAAATAGGGTGACATTAGAAATTTTGTTAGTATGAGAAAATGAACAATGGTGCAGAATTTTGAGTTTACTTTTAGTTAACACATAAGAACGTATGGGTAGAAGGGATAAATTATTCGGGGCAATATGCCAAACACCCTTCATTGGGATTTTAATTCTTGATAAATCCATTATTTATAAATAATATTTGAGATAAATCCAATGGGCCTTAAAAACCATATATGCCCCCACTAATTATTAATTAGTATAACTATTTAATTTAAAAAAAATTACACCCATAATCTACAACCAAATCTTCTCCTAAAATTATTCCTCTCATTACGTTAATTCAGTTTTTTTTCCTTTTCTTTTTTATTTTGTTTAATGGTTTTCTTTATTTCTATTTAAAATAAAATTTTGTAATTATATTATTATTATTTTTTTTCGATTGTTTATTTAAAATTATTTTTTTTCTTATCTATATTTTTCATGTTTTTTATTTTAATTTTTAAAAAATGGTTTTATTTTTATTTTTGTTTTTTCATGGTTTTTCTTTTTTCTTAATTTCGAATTTTTTTTGAAAATGGTTTATTTATTTATTTTTTATTTCCAGTTTTTTTAAATAAAAACCACTCTATATAAAAATAAAAACCACTCTGCATAAACAGCTATATAACCAAGAAAACCACTATATATAACAATTATATAACATGAAAACCACTATGTATATAAACAACTATATAAACATGAAAACCGCTATATATAAACAGCTATATAAACATGAAAATCACTATATATAAACAGCTATATAAACATGTAAACCACTCTGTATAACCATGAGAGAGAGAGAGAGAGAGAGAGAGAGAGAGAGAGAGAGTTGGATAGGGGGAGATAATTCCGTAATTAAATCAGTAACCAACTTCCTAATTATTAGGATTATTTAATGGAAAATATATTATATATCTTTTAATATCAAAATTAAATATACATTATTTCTTAATTAGGGGTATAATAGTGATAATTAAGTGTTTTTAATTAATAAAAATTGTTTTGGATTTATCTTAAAAATGTAAAACAAAATTGGACTCATTGTAATGACACTTGTGTAATGAGGGAGTTTTGTCAAATTTTTCCAAATTATTCCCACGTTCATTAATTGTGGAACAACCGTCGGTGTAATGGTAACTGTTGTTGCCATGATGCTCATGGGAGTGTTCATATTAAAGATTTTTTTTTATTTTGTTTAAAAGTTTTTGTTTTTTAACGGGCATGTAACTTTGGTAAATATAAATATATTTTTTAAGGCACAATAAAATTAAGAGTAAACTGCAAAAAGTACCCCTCTGTAATTTCTAAATAGCAAAAACCCCTCTATGATAAATAAACTAGCAAAAACCTCCCTGTGAAATTATTTAAATAGCACACTCGGCCCATTTCTCATTTGAGTGTTGCATATAAAAAGACACAAATACCCCCGGGATTTTGCAATTAATAAATTCTTATGTTTTTAAAATATTTTAATTATTTTATTTTTGTTATATCTTAATTATAAACGTACAATGGGGTCTTTAATTTATTTTTATTTTTATTATCACATAATTTTTGTATATATTTTAAATTATCGGTACATCAAAAGAAAACTTAAATTCCATTATTATGTATTTAAAAAAATCTATACTTAATTTAATTAACAAATTTTTAATATTTTTTAATTTAATTATTTACTATTTTTTAACAATATTTTAATTTCTAAACAATCAAATTAAAAGGAAAATATATATACATATAATATATATACATATAAATCCATTTTTAGGGTCAATTTCGTCATTTCACGTCCAAAAACCAACTTCCAGTCGCGCAACCCGCGAGTGAGCCACACTTACGTCAACCGGGGGGTTTTTTGCCTTTGACTAAATTTCACAGGGGGGTTTTTGCTATTTAGAAATTACACAGGGGTACTTTTTGCAGTTTACTCTAAAATTAATGTAGTGGGGGTGGGGGTTTATTTTGACGTGGGAAATCATGGGCATGTGCAAATTCTTAGTTCACATTTTCTTTATTTTGACTTAGTCTCTTTTTTTATTATTTTTTATTTAATGCATATAATTTTATGTGCAAATATAAATTCTGCTTATTTGCAAACACAAAAATTGCCTATTATGTTGGGAATTATATAGATTCAATTTGTTGATATAGCGTATGTTAATGAAAAAAATTGTAACTATATTAATTATTTATTATTTATTTTGTACTCATTTTCCTTTTTCTCTTTTTTCTTAAGAAAAAATTAAATAATATTTAACCATATATTTTTATTAGAAATTTTTATTTTATAAGATCAATATTTTATTTAACATTTAACCAAACTATCAAGAACAATGATTTATTTAACAGTTAACCAAACTATCATATGCATATATTAATTATGAACCAAAATTATATTTAAATTCTAAACATAGAATTTATAGTTAATGATAATAGTTTTGTTTTATTAGGTTTTGTAAAATTACAAAATAAAATACTGGGTTTAATACTATAATCAAAACATTTTATTTGTAATAGTTTAATTTTGTTTCTAATACACAATCCTAAACTGATAATCCTCATTTTATGTAGGTTTGAACTCGTTTATTTATATTTGACATAATAAATACATGAGTAAACTGAACAAAGTAATGATAAAAACATAGAATTAGAACTACTTGACATGATAAAAGTAGATGAAATGTAATTTCAAACACTACAACTAAAATAGCGACTAAAATTTATAAAATTTGAAAACATAAATAAACTAAATACTAAATGTCTAAAACTGAAAAACGAAAGTGTTCTGACAAAACATAACATTAAAATATGCAAAGATTAAAAAAAAAATACTCAAATTCTACGAATCACTTCGAAAGCTTCTCAATCTTGATCTTCTTTAACGCTGTAGTAGAGGACATCTGAGTTGTATCATCGTGAGATAAATTAGATATAGCACCCTCGTCAACTCGCTTCTCACCCAAATAAATGATAGGAGTATTGTCATCAATACTTGTACTCAAAGCCTACAAAATATTTACACGAAAATTATATGTTAATAGTATTTCCAATTTATAGATTCATCAAATATACTTGATCATGTGTTTAATTAATTGGATAATATATATGCAGTACATTAGAACTGTCATCTTGATGCTGAACAAAATTTTCAATGGATTCGTCTTCGTCGGATTCCTGCAATATAAATAAATAAATATAGATGTGCTCATTGCAATAAAAAAAATACGTACATAATATGTATTTTTTTGGTATACACCTTGATGCAGTACATAGCCTTAAATTGGCGAATAAGTTCTTCTTCATCGTGCATCGACTTAATAGTATAGAGGGGCCAATTCTTTTGTATGTTCATTGCACCGATTTGAACTTTAAAAAGAAATTCCTTGTTAAGTATTGTGTCAAACTCAATAGGGAATTTATTAGTACAGTCTTCCTACATAAAAAGTACATGCGATACATTGTGTTAATAATATATATGAAATAATTTTGAATAATTTGAGCAAACAGATTCGTCAAAAATTATTACCGCTT